CAAGGAAAGATTTGACGCAAAGATATCGCTTCGCCCGTAAGGTTAGAAGGCTGCTACCGGAAAACTTCTGGGAAAATGGAATCAGCTTCTATTTTGATGGAACCTCGTTTGTGCACAAAACAAACCCCCTTGAGCAGGCACGAGCTACAAAATCAATGGCTTGGAGAAAGCGTGGAGAAGGGCTTGCTCTAAATTGCACAAGCAAAGGAAAGAAGGCCGGAGTAGAGGGGAAAACAGCTCACTTCTTTGTTTCCGTTGCTTATGGGATGGGTGTTATTTCTTGCGACCAATATTTTCATCGTTTGACTGGAGAGACATTTGCTGAATATGTACGCCTTCATTTCCCTCGGATATTTGAAAATAGTGCAAATCCAACCGCCAAACGTTTTGTGCAGGATGGTGACCCATCGCAAAACAGCGCAGTCGCAAGGCGAGCTTTCAACCAAGTGGGAGCTTTAAAGTTTTCTATACCACCCCGAAGTCCGGACTTAAACCCAATTGAAAATTTGTTCCACTTGGTTTCCAAGAAACTAGAGAAAGATGCTCTTGACATGAAGATAACACGTGAAAGCTTTGCCCAGTTTTCAGACAGGGTAAAGAAGACAATGCTAAATTTTCCAACAGACATTATAGACAACATCATTAAGTCAATGAACAAACGTCTTACAATGATGGTCAAGAAACGGGGAGAAAGATTGAAGTACTGAATGATTTTACAATCAGTTTTTCTCGAGAAGTTTGTCCTAACAAAATATCAATTTTTCTGTTCTTACAAACACTGTATACAAACTATATTTAGCACATATATTAGTTAAAAAGAGTACTGCAAATAAATATGCACGTCTCAGGTGGTTGATGCAGATAATCCTGCATGTTACCACATGTTACCATCATGTTACCATTCATGTTACCATTTTTCCCTTACTAATTTCCATATATATTTACATGTTACCACATGTTACCATCGATTTTGTATAAAATATTATATTATTTATATAAAATAGTGGTAACATGTGGTAACATGTTCAAAAGTTATAGGAAATTTATGTGAAATTGGTAACATGGATGGTAACATGACGGTAACATGTGGTAACATGTACGAAATGTATGATAAATATTAAGGAAACGCCTATATTGTAAATCCCAGCAGTTTTTTAAACAGATTTTGAACGTATTTTAAAATAATTATTGTCATGTGAAACAAACACATTGAAAGTGCGTTCAAACAGTTTATCCCAAAAGAACTAACGTGGCGAAACAGCGAGGACAGGTAGGTATATTTTTCTGTTCATCCTCAGGTATGCTCTGATTGAAGTGAAACACTTTCCACCGAGAAGCCATCATGTCATTCTCAAGTGTATCCTCTGCGTTGTATGGACCTCGGTATGTAATGATCGCTTTGGAAGTTGCGAATACTGGCACATCGCTCTCAATACACACGTCCTTTGCGAAGTGATTCTTCGGAGCCGGAAGATGTACTCGGTCTCCTTCAAGTAACAGCAAAAAACTCTTCCATTCAATCAGTTCTCGTGACCATCTGAAATCGTTGAGAAAAATAGCTTCAGCGTTATCAGCTCCCACCCATGCATACTTGTCGGATGCTGGGTTAGTAAACGTATCGAACAGCAGCTCCAAAGGCCTTAATAAAAACGATTTTCCACAGTTTGTTGGGCCTACCAGCAATATGTTTCTAAATTTTCCTCTTCCATATTCTAACAACCGCTTAATTGCCATTGCATACACGACAGGATGAATTTTGTTGTTGATCAGAACCTCATTTGCGCATTCTAGCCAGTGACCTTCGCATCCTTCTGTACAGTTTGCTTCCGAGAACTCGCGAATTATGTCCATACGTGACTGGCTTTTGCGGCGTATAATTTTGGACGCCTCTTTCATTTTCCATGTCTGCTCCAACAGCTCATCGAGAGACCTTGATGAATGAGATAAAAGAAACTGTGCTAGATCTTTTTTTCCTTGCTCGTTCTGTTCGTCTGCAAAAGCCAAGAGTGATGTTTGATCTTTAATTTTATGCTTCGTAATAAATTCGGAGACATCAATGTTTTTTAGTTTCTTGATTTTCGCCACCCTGTGATATTTCTCACAATGTTTGTCAGTTTGAGATGTGGAGCTGGTGCCTTATAATTGAGAACGCTTTCGACGATAAGCTTGCTGACAACTGCTTGTAATCGGGGAGCCAATTTCATCCAGGTTGGGATGGTTATTGCTGTGAAAGACATCTTCGTCGAATTTCCGTATGTATTTGTACGCCGAATAGTAGCCTTCGTGGTCTGAGAAATGCACCACAATTCCGTGATTCGTTTCAAGGGCTTTTTTGCAGCCCAACCACCTCTTTGGAGCCGAAAGCTTCAAAGCCATGTGATAATGAAAGCCGTGCTGTTGTTGCCTCTCAATGCAACATGCCTAGTGTTGTGGCGATAATTTGCTTCGTGGGGATGTAAAGGCTTCAACTACAGCATCAGCAAACGATTCTCTAGTAGAAAATTTTTGAAGATCGGCTTGGCTATATGTTATTAAATAGCAACGCCGTGGTTTTCTGCTATGAATTTCGTCTATGTAACGTTTTATTGTTTAAACTGAGTATATAAACAAAAGAAAAGGTTTTACAAACAAAAGCTCGGCAACCATTTTAGTATGCTCGCCCAACAAGCTCCCTCTCCCGCATGCTCGACCCAGGCTGTCCCGGATTGGCTGAGCTACAGCAATAACGTCACATCCTCTTTCCTCTATAAAAGTTAATGTCAACTAAATATCTATATATATATACTTTAGTTACTTAAGCGATCTAACGTTAACTTCCCTAAGTGCTAGACCGTCCAGACAACTTGTTCAAGAACCCATAATAAAGTCTTTATACTGGCTTGGCAATCTAACAGTTCGCTGTGACCGTCTTAAGTTCGGTGGTTCTGGCTCCGGTTCGATGGGTGGGGGTGTTGTTGAGTGCTCGGTTGGGTTTTCTACTGGTGGTATTGGTGTTTGTATCTCAGGACTTGGTTCATACTCATCATCACTCCGTTGGTCCCTTTGCTGATTAAATTTACCTGTGCTTGGGCGCAAGTGTACTCTGTTTCTCCGAAATAATCTACCATCTTCAGTTATGATTCTGTAGGACCGCTTGCTAACTTGTTCAAGAACTTTCGCTTTATGCCATCGAATTGGCTTGGTTTCGGGGTTTAGTAATACTCGCACAATATCACCCCGCTTCAGAGCTGGTAGTTTGGTTGCATTCCGATTGTAATACTTCTCTTGGCGTTGTTGTCTTGTCCGCTTACTCTTAACGGTAGACATAATCTTAGGCTTTAGGAGTTTGCTAGCCGTAGGCAGAAGTGTTCTAGTGCGACGGCCAAATATTCTTTGCGCCGGCGAACTGTTCAGTCCTTCTGTTGGGGTGTTTCTCCAGATGAGTAATGCCAGTTGGTAGTCGCCGTCGGATTGTTGGGTCTTCTTTAGCAAATTCTTTGCGACTTTAACTGCGTTTTCCACTTTACCGTTACTTTGTGGATGCTTGGGGGAACTGGTAGTGTGCTTGATTTCATATTCAGCTGTAAAGGAAGAAAAATCGTTGGAGGAAAAGGGAGGGCCATTGTCACTCTGTAGTACATCAGGTATACCATGAGTTGCGAAATGTTTCTTTAATTTCTTGATGATTACTTCTCCATTCTTGCTGCTCAGTTGATCTACTTCGAAATAATCAGAATAGTAGTCTACGGTACATAAATAATCTTTGTTATTGTATGTGAAAATGTCCGTACCAATCTTTTCCCACGGTCGACTGGGTACTGGATGGGCCATCAGTGGTTCTTTGGGTTGGGCGCTCTGCGAGGTTGCACAAATATCACAGTGGGATATGAAACTTGTTACGTCCTTGTTCATGCCTGGCCAATAGACCACCTCTCGGGCTCGCCTTAAACAGCCCTGGATGCCAATATGCGCCGCATGGATCTTCTCCTTGATCTTTTGTCGTAAGCGCAGCGGAATGACGACTCTTTGCCTTTGAACACCACTCCCTCATGGACCGACAATTCATCTCTTATGCTATAATATGGATGAAGGTCGCTCGGTACTTGGCTTTTCTGGTCTGGCCAACCCTTCCTGATGGTTTCCATTAATTTCTTCATTGAGGTATCAATTTCTGCTTCTTTCTGTAATTCCTCGAACTGTGATTTTGACATTGGTAAGAAATTGCTACATGGACATGCTCGGTTTCATCTTCTGTCTTAGATCTCTCACAGGATTTCAGATGGGCTCTGGACAATGTATCTGGCACATACATCTCCTTCCCTGGCTTGTAGTAAATAGCTGTGTCGTATTGTTGCAGGCGGAGTAGAAGCCTTTGCAGGCGTTTGGGGGCTGTCGCTAAGGATTTCCTCGATATTGCCACGAGTGGTTTGTGGTCGGTCCATAAGGTAATTTTTCTTCCATATACATACTGATGATTGTGCTCGAGACCAAAGACTAAAGCCAGAAGTTCCTTTTCAATTTGAGAGTATCTGGTCTCTGCTTGGGTGAGTGCTCGGCTGGCGAATGTTACTGGTTGGCTGCTTTGTGTAAGGACGAAACCCAGTCCAGTGGAGGAGGCATCTCCCTCGCCTTGGACTGGCTCACTTGGGTTAAAATATTTCAGTACTGGTGTAGTAGAAACTAGCTCTTTGATCTTTTCGAATGCAGCATCCTGTTCTTCTTTCCATTCCCAAGTGGCATGCTTTTGTGTTAATCTTCGCAGTGGTTCGCAAACAGAGGAAAGTCCATCCAAGAACTTCGATAAATACATCACCATCCCAATGAGTCGCCTCACTGCTTCGACATTTTGTGGCTTTTCCATTTTAGTGATTGCAACAATCTTAGATGGGTCAGGCTTTAATCCCTCTTGGGTTAGTGTATGTCCGATGAAGGGTACACTGGTGCACTTGAACTCAAACTTTGCAGGATTTAACTTGATTTCTCTCTCACGGCATCTCTCCAACAGATTTCTCAGATTTGCATCATGATCTTTCTCTGAGTTGGGTCCCTGGCCAATGATGAGAATCATCTGCGATCTTATACACACCTTTCAGTCCCTCTAAGTTCTGATCAAGCTTTTGCTGAAAGTTTTCAGGGGCTGGGGCAACTCCGAAGGGCAGTCGAAGCCAGCGATAACGGCCCCAGGGTGTTTGAAAGGTTGTCAGCTCACTTGACTCATCATCAAGTTCAATTTGTAGAAAACCGTCCTTCAGGTCAACTTTACTGAAAACTCGAGCATTGGCTAACTCTGGAAGAACTTCTTCAATTACCGGCAGGGGGTAGTGCGCTCGTTTCAGTACCTTGTTAAGGTGCTGGGGGTCGATACAGACTCTGACTTGACCATTAGCCTTCTCAGTGACAACTAAACTAGATACCCACTTGGTTGGTGCTTCTTGCTTTGTAAGCACTCCCATCATTTCGAGTCGATCCAACTCTGCTTTCAGCTTTTCTTTTACTGCAATGGGCACTCTCCGTGGGGCCATGACAACAGGTTTGGCCGATTCATCAACTAAAAAATGCAATTTGCCATCCATCTTTCCCAGGCCATTGAAAACATCAGAATACTCGCTTAGTATTTCTTGCTTAGTCAGATTATGTTCAGTAGGCAATTTGGCAACATCTTCTGTGCTTACATGTAAAATATTCTGTTTTTGAACAACAATCAAGTTCATTTGCTGAGCAGCCTTGGCTCCTATGATTGGTGTATAATTTCCCTCAATGATCACAAATTCTGCTCGATACTTCTTACTGTTCTTAAGATTGCGAAAACTTACTTTTGCTGTTCCCAAGGTTGTCATTTTGATCTTGGAGTACATGATGAGCTCTTTAGCTTTCTTTTGGATCTCTGTGTTTGGTGGTAAAAGGTGTTTTGGGAGGATATTGCAAGTAGCACCAGAGTCAACTTGCATTTTAACTGGCTTCCCGCTGATCTCCATGGTTGCATAAATCTTCTTGTCAAAGTTGGCATTTCCACTTTTGGTGTTGTCGCCAGCAGAAACAGTAAACAATTCCTCTTCTGAGCTGTCACTAAGATTATTCACGTTTCTGTGGTCAACAAGTGGCTTGCTTCTACATTTGGCAGCAAAATGATTCTGCTTGCCACACCTGGCACAGATTTTACCGAATGCAGGGCATTTCTCTTTGATATTCTCGTGCTGTTTACCACAATACTTGCAGCCTTTCCCATCTCTAGTTTTCCGGGAATCCCATTTGTTTGCTTTATGTTGATTTTGAGTATCGGTTTTGTAGACGCTATCATTTGGTGATTCTGCCCCTTGGACGTTAGCTATATCCTTGAGTTGATTTTTCGTCGCTTCTGCTGCTCGACACACATCAACGCATCTCTCCAGAGTTAGCTTAGATTCTTGCAGCAACTTCCGCCGCACGCCATTATCACGAATTCCGCAGACAATTCTGTCGCGAATTAAATCGTCTTTTAAACTTTGAAATTCGCATGTCTCTACTAAGGAGCGTAGACTTGTTACATATTCATCAATAGTTTCATTCTGCTCTTGGGCTCGGTTGTTGAATTTATATCTCTCATAAATGACATTGGTCTTACCGAGACAATAATCGTCCCAAAGCTTCATCACTGTAGTGATATCATTTTTCTCCTCGTCGCTTGCAAACGGCAATCCCATATGTATTTGGAGTGCTTCGGATCCAATACATGTTATAAACGTTGCTACTCTATAAGAACTGTCTCTCTTGGCTAAATCAGTGACAGTTTCGTAAGCTTTCCATACCTGTTTCCACTGTTTCCAATTCTTTGCAAGGTTTCCTTTCACGCTCAGATTGTGCGGAAGTGGCACATTGGACATAAACATCTGACAACTTTGTACTTGTGGCTGTGTTGTTGCAGCGTTTTGTTCAGCAATCTCATCATGATTGGCCTCCTCCGGACCCGACATTCTAAAATTCGGTTTACTCCTGACACCATGTAACGTTTTATTGTTTAAACTGAGTATATAAACAAAAGAAAAGGTTTTACAAACAAAAGCTCGGCAACCATTTTAGTATGCTCGCCCAACAAGCTCCCTCTCCCGCATGCTCGACCCAGGCTGTCCCGGATTGGCTGAGCTACAGCAATAACGTCACAGTCTATTGGTACCGCCATTTTGCATAACCGTTAAGTTGCGATATGAAAAATTCAAATTTCCCGCTGAAAGTTAATAATTAACCTTGATGTAAACAGACTTTAGAAATTATATTTCCGCTAATTAAATCTTTTTAGCTCAAACTCTACCGATGAATAATGATATGTGGTAGCTATTGATAGCTTTATAGAAAAAAATTATTGAATGTAGATCGCCTTTTGCAGCCAAGGGGGCATTGTAGATATATTGTTCTGAAGACATTCAAGACCATTCAAGAAAACATTATTAATAGCATACTTTCAGTAATTCTGCTGTTCATGCAGGGTTCAAAAAAGTCTAATTGATGTCCATAAAAATCCAATTGTCCCCAAAATGTCCGACAATAGTGCCAAAAAGTTCAAGCATTTGTTATAGGAATGTAGAAATAATGAAAATATAAAAAAAACACCTGTCAGTTCGTGTCAGAATTAAAATCTTCAATTTTGTCCACAATTTTTTGACGTTTTAATATATATTTGTTCTTACGTTGGCAATAACAGCGTCTACGACTTTTATTCATCTTAAAAAAACGCTTTATATTTAAAAAAAATGCAATTAATGATGTTTTCATGACTTTATATTTCAAAAAAACAAAACAAGTTTTCACGGGAAATTTTTTTTATAAAGGCCAGGGGGGAGAACCTGTTGTTTACTAAATCCAGGGGAGAGAACATCCTTGTAGCGGGCTCATAATTGAGCCCGGTCAGTGGTAACTACCATGGCCAAAAGGAACCATGTGGCGTCAGCAGAGCTTCTGCGGTTGCGCAGAAGGGCGAAGTCCGCCATGTTTTTGCGGACAAAAAGATGGCGGCGAAGTTACCGAAAAATGACGAGCCGGTCCTCCAGGAGTTATTATATAGCTCAGTGGCGCTAACCCATGCATGCAGCATTGAACAAATGGCCCTGAACGCTAATCGATCGAGTATGTGTCACTAATGCAGTGACAAAAACGTTACCAACACCAGCAGCTATTTAAATCTGCTGACAGCTATAAGCGCAGCAGAATACAATAGGTTTTAGACGAAATTTCGAAAACGAACATCTATTGAAAAAGAATTAATAGTCAGAATCATATCATGTCTTAGGATTGCTTTTAAATTGCTCTTATGAAAATAAGAAGAGGAAAGCACATGCATACTTCGCGTTAAAAACGCCTTATTTAAGGTTCTGTATCTTCAGTTAACCGAACCTTGCAGGCTATAGCTTACTTTTATTAGTCAATAGAATCCTCAATATTGGATTTTATGTCCTGTGTCCTATCGCTACAAACAGTGAATAATTACGCCTGTATTCTAAAAACTCACTCACACTCAAACTCATTGAGTGGGAGATCCTAATCTTCTCATCACGTTTCAATGGCGGTATTTCCAGCCGAAAAGGGGCTTAATTTTCAGTGATATACCTTATATCTTTCCATCTATTGAAAGAAAACTTTCTCATTTGCCAGAATTAACAAAATTCATATGCCACACTCGATGAGTGTGAGTGTGAGTGAGCTTTTTGAATACAGGCGTTACTCTTACTCTTACTCTTACTCTTACTCTTACTCTTACTCTTACCCTTACTCTTACTCTTACTCTTACTCTTACTCTTACTCTTACTCTTACTCTTACTCTTACTCTTACTCTTACTCTTAGGCCTGTATTCAAAAAGCTCACTCACACTCACACCTGAGTCAGACTGTAGTGAGGTTGACTCAAGTATGGTTGAAATGTGAGTGAGGGTGGAGTATGAGTGCAACGTTACACTGCGTGAGTGTGCGCTCATCCATTGGAAAATCGTGTCGATTTGTATTCATAAAGCGCACTCGAGTATGACTTATCCAAGTAGAACTGTACAATGACAATTAGGATAATACAGCTATTTCAATTAAGGTTGACAATTGTACAATTGAGGGTAAAGGACGTATCGGAACATCAATTTCGCAGTTCTAAGTAAGGTTTATACATCGGTACAGCAACGAGGAAATAAAATATAATGTTTATATAATCCCACGAGGCCTCTGATTTGTTAATTAAACCCATTCAATCTAACTATAGCTCGTGTTGTACATGTGACGAATGTCTGTGACCTCCGTAATTTAAATAGCTGACTATTGGTGTATAGGCACACACAATTTAGTGAGAACCAGGCAGTACAAGATGTCGCAACCTAGGCAGTTTTACTCAGAATTAGAAAAGACTCTGTTAATAGAACTAGTTGGAAAACACAAAGATGTTATCGAAAATAAGAAGAACGATTATAAGACAATTAGACAAAAAACCCTCGCGTGGGAAGAGTTAGCACAAGAATTTAATTCCCAATCTGGTGTTACGAAAAGAGATTCGAAGCAGTTAAAGAAATGCTGGGAAAATGTGAAGGCCCGTGCCAAGAAGAATCTTGCGAAGGAGAAGAGACGTGCAAAATTGACGGGTGGTGGTCCATCGTGTGTGCAACAAGAAGACGAGGATGCGGCCGTAGCCGCTATTATTCCCAATCAAATAGACAGCCTTAGCAACCCGTTTGACGACGATAATTACGTCGCAGGTAATTGAAGTGCACAATAAATTATGCTTGTAATATGTGATCGGTGTTTTAAAATAAGCCGTCGAAATGTATTTATACGTTACAGACAACACAGATAACGAAAGTGATAATTCACAGGCGTCGAGTACAAATGCGCAGAACCAACAGCAAAAATCATCTCTCGTCGTTGAGGCGGCTCTGAAGGACTCAGGCACAACAAAGCCAAGAATATCAGCAGCGCAAGAAAAATGTTTGAAAATGCAGACATCACAGCATGAAGCTGAGATGGACCTCTTAGAACTCCAAAAAGCCAATCTGTTGATGCAACACAAAAGAAAAATGGAGGTGTTAGACGCCGAACTTGAATATTGGACGTCTGTGACAAAGGCAATGAAGACAACAGACGAACAACAACGGAGACCAAATACAAGATCAAAAAAATGAAACAAGAAAGATATTTATGATTAAGGATTGTTGTGACATAGGCATGCATATGCACGAAACGCTTGGCAGATAAGATTGAAATGCAGACGTTTGTTTACTGACTGTGCGGAGATATTTTGAACTATAGATCGGTTTCAGACGATTTTCTACCTTAACCATTGCCCATTTACATCATTTTATATTTATAATAAATACACAGGGCAAATCATAACAAACGAGACCTTTTCAAATTCAAATTAGCCATAATCTCTTGTAGTAATTGGAAAGTTATGTTCATTGGAGAATCACGAATGACTACAATAGATTGTTTATGGCTAATGTGGCTATTTGAAAAGAGGAATGGTTTGTTGCTACATCTGTAGTGTGTAACATGAACTATGTAGCTCATGAAAGTAATAGACGTGTGTGTCTTGTATGTTCCGCACGTACAACGTTGTATGCAAATTTTGCGCTATCCACTTTTGTAGGTTTTTATTGTCTATGTGAAATGTTGACGTATTAAATTTTCGCGCACAGCATGTCCCAAACGTCGTTCACCAGCATGCGCATCAGGTAACTCATCTTCCGCAAGCAGCATATCATCCGCTTCATCAAATGGATCATTTCGGCTGCGTACAAAATTGTACAAAACGGCGGTTGCGACAATAATAGTTAAGGTCGTTTCTAGTTTCGTTCTTAGGCACGTTGATAAACATGGGAACATTCTCTTCCATATGCCGAACATTCTTTCTACTGTATTTCGTGTTCGTATATGTGCAACATTGTATCGGCGTTCTGGTTGAGTTTGCGGGTCAGCAAGAGGTGTCAGGAGATATTGGCGGCACGGATAACCGCTGTCACCCAGCAACATGCCATCTATGTCACCTCGTTCAAACTGAGCACAAAGACGACAGTTGTCAAAAATTCTTGCATCATGCACACTACCTGGCCATCGGGGCAACAATGTTCTGAATTTCTAAATTAGGTCCACAGACAGCTTGCACATTTATCGAAAAGTATCCCTTTCGATTCCTAAAAAGTTCCGCGTTCACTCCCCCAGGACTTGGTATTTTAACGTGCGTACAATCAATAGCTCCCACAACGCCTGGAAATTCAGAAATTCTCCAAAAATCTAATTTGACAACATTCAGCATATCGACAGGAGGAAAACAAATGTATTGATTCTTTAAACCGGCAATTGCAACCGATACACGTTTGATGATTCTACTTGCTGATGGCTGCGAAATGCCACACAGGTCGCCGCAAGCTACTTGGAACGTTCCCGTAGCATAAAATCGAAGAGTCAACAAAAGTTGTATATCGGCTGGAATAGGTCTTCCTCTCTCATTAGGTGCATATAACTTGTCTCTGATTAGGTCAAGGAGTGCACGAAATCCATCCTTTGTTAACCTGAATCGGGACCGAAATTGATCATTATCATAGTTGCCATACTCAAAATGATATATTTTCCTCCTATTTAAGTCGTTTCGTGGGATATTGTTCACTAATTCTAACCTTCGTAGCCATCGATCCGCCATATTGTTATACGTTTGTTCCTGGAGTGTGTCTGAAGGGAGGTATACCCTTCACTAACACTCCACTCAAAAATAGTACTGCCCTTAAGGGTGAGCATTGTCTTTGAATGCTTGGAGTGTGAGTGTAGTCTTCTACCGGACAAGTGTGAGTTGACACCTGATAAGTGCTCACTCGTCCTTACTAAGGTTGAGTAGCAACTCATTGAGTGTGAGTGTGAGTGAGCTTTTTGAATACAGGCCCTACTCTTACTCTTACTCTTACTCTTACTCTTACTCTTACTCTTACTCTTACTCTTACTCTTACTCTTACTCTTACTCTTACTCTTACTCTTACTCTTACTCTTACTCTTACTCTTACTCTTACTCTTATCCTTACTCTTACTCTTACTCTTACTCTTACTCTTACTCTTACTCTTACTCTTACTCTTACTCTTACTTCTTACTCTTACTCTTACTCTTACTCTTACTCTTACTCTTACTCTTACTCTTACTCTTACTCTTACTCTTACTTACTCTTACTCTTACTCTTACTCTTACTCTTACTTACTCTTACTCTTACTCTTACTCTTACTCTTACTCTTACTCTTACTCTTACTCTTACTCTTACTCTTACTCTTACTCTTACTCTTACTCTTACTCTTACTCTTACTCTTACTCTTACTCTTACTCTTACTCTTACTCTTACTCTTACTCTTACTCTTACTCTTACTCTTACTCTTACTCTTACTCTTACTCTTACTCTTACTCTTACTCTTACTCTTACTCTTAGGCCCGTATTCAAAAAGCTCACTCACACTCAAACTCATTGAGTGGGAGATCTTAATCTGCCCATAACGTTTCAATGGCGGTATTTTCAGCCGAACAGGGGCTTGATTTTCAGTGATTTACCTTATATCTTTTCATCTATTGAGAGAAAACTTTCTCATTGATCAGCATTAACAAAATTTATATGTCACACTCAATGAGTGTGAGTGTGAGTGAGCTTTTTGAATACGGGCCTTACTCTTACTCTTACTCTTACTCTTACTCTTACTCTTACTCTTACTCTTACTCTTACTCTTACTCTTACTCTTACTCTTACTCTTACTCTTACTCTTACTCTTACTCTTACTCTTACTCTTACTCTTACTCTTACTCTTACTCTTACTCTTACTCTTAGGCCCGTATTCAAAAAGCTCACTCACACTCACACTCATTGAGTGTGACATATAAATTTTGTTAATGCTGATCAATGAGAAAGTTTTCTCTCAATAGATGAAAAGATATAAGGTAAATCACTGAAAATCAAGCCCCTGTTCGGCTGAAAATACCGCCATTGAAACGTCATGAGAAGATTAAGATCTCCCACTCAATGAGTTTGAGTGTGAGTGAGCTTTTTGAATACAGGCGTTACTCTTCTCTTTACACTCTTACTCTTACTCTTACTCTTACTCTTACTCTTACTCTTATTTACCCTTAAGCCGGATTTTCACTTACAGCGAAATCGTTCCCTAACGAAATATTTGCATATTTTCTATTGAATTGAGAACAGTCAAGTCGAACTAATTTATTTATGCTGTTAAAATTCAAAAGAAAACATGCAAATATTTCGCTGGTGAACGATTTCGCTGTAAGTGGAAATCGGCCTTTACTCTTAATCCATCGGAATGACAACTTAGACTGGATATGTGAAAAACAGCGAATAAATCTATTTTCATTTAAATTCCGCGTGAAAGCCAACACATTAAGAAGAAGGATATTGCTTTCTTACCGCGCTTGGGTTTTATTTACACTGCGTCCAATAATTATACGCAAAATCGTTTTTTCGCTACATTTCATTTGGTTTTTCGAAGAGTTTAATGAAGTGTAGTGTATATCATGGAAACATTATTACATGTGCAAAGCTGTAATTTTGGGTTTATCTGTGCAATAGAAAAAAACATTTGCCATTTTTTCAGAAAGTAAAAATATTTGGCACCCATTTTTATATGCATATTACACTTATACTGCTATTTAGCGAATTGATACAATGGAAAAACTTATAAAATGAGACAATATCGTATTTCTAGGTAATTTTAATCAATATATTCTCACACACATTTGATAAATAACAAATTATATAATTATATACAAAAAAAAGAAGATCAATATTATTCATTAATGTTTAATGTATCATCCATGATTTGATGACTAAAAGTAGCCTTTGATCCATCAATGCGGTGAGTTTCCTGTTGCATCAGGTGAAATACCTCTAGCAGTGGTTTTAATTGCATTCCACAGATCTTCTGTTGACGAGTATTGTTTTCCACCTCTCATATACCTCTCGCATATACCTCTCTTTTAAAAAATGCTCCACAAATTCTCAATTGGGTTGAGATCCGGAGAGCATGCTGGCCATTGCATAATTTCACCTTTTTTAAGGAGCATGGTCCTGCATAATTGGAAGGAGCATTGTCCTGCGTAAGAACCATATTCCTCCGAAATGACAAATTTTTCTTCTTATACCATGGCAAAAAATGCTCATTTAGGAAAGCTATGTATTTCAGGCTGGTCATTTTAACCCCATCCTCGACCCTAAATGGGCCGACAAGTTCATCATTGATGATCGCAGCCCAGAACATAACTCCAACTTCGCCTTGTTGATGCCTGAAACACTGCGGAGGTAATCCTTTCATATCACACCAACCTTTTCTCCAGCCATCGGGTCCATCAAGGGTTGCTCGGCACTCGTCAGTAAATAACACCAACTCAAAGTTCTGTTTCACATAATTATTTTTTCTCCCACTCGAGTCTCTTTTCTTGATGAACTTTCTTTAAAGGAGGTCGGACATTTTGCATTACGCTTTAGAATGGAACATTGTGTGCTTTTAGGAACGTTACGCATACCAACTGCTTCGAAAACCTGCTTGGAGGTCTGTAAAGGATTACGGTGGACTTCGCGTTTAAGTGAACTGAGTACGCGACGCGACACACCTGACTTTTCCCGAATGTCTGCTCTTCTATTGCAGGATTGTGGATTTGAAGCATACTTTTTGGTGGTCGCGTTGAGGCATTTTGGCGATTTGAAGGGTGAAGGTTGCTTCCGCTGTAGTGCTTGAATATTTTTGGTCTTTTCAACTTGCGTCAATTCCCCTCTGCGGCCCATCTTGCATATAAAAATGGACGCCCAAGATCCCTTTTTAAAGCATGAATGGCCGCTGTTCGTTTACCACTGCTCAGATCAGCCAAAAGCTTCAGTTGTGGGCATGTTACAGCGTTTTCATAATATATACGAAATTTCATAATCCTCTTTTAAAAACCAAATGAAATGTAGCGGAAAAACGATTTTGCATATAATTTTTGGACGCAGTGTACTTCATCAAATAATTTATTATGTTCACGTGTCATTTTTAGCCAATACTTCTAATCAACGTAAGTTAAATATGAATTAGGGGATAAAATGCGGATGGGAAATGCGGATGAGGGGATAAAATGTGGATGGGAAAATGCGGATGGGAAAATGCGGATGAGGGGATAAAATGCGGATGAGAAAATGCGGATGAGGGGGTAAAATGCGGATGGGAAAATGCGGATGAGGGTTTTTATATGTAAAAGCTGGAATTTTAAAAATATAAATTTATTGCCTTTTTGCAAATTTGTTTATCACCGCAATGGTTGCAGTTGTGTCCCGCGTGTTTTCGATTTCGTGCAAGAGAATCAGCGGATTTGTAAAGGCATTTCTGTCCATGGATGTCTGGTTCTTTCGAGCGAGTTCGTCAGAAATGGACAGATGTCAGTCAAGGAATTAATGGTGATAAAAATACGTAATAAGACGAG